GTAATATCCCAACACACACACACATACCCCTTATCTTCTTTATCCATTCATGTATCAATAGACATTAAGTTGCTGCCATATCTTCTTGACTATCATAAATAATGCTACAATAAACAAGATGAATATATCTTTTTGAATTAGTGTTTTTAGGTTAGTTTGGGTTTTTTTGTAAATACGCTGGAGGGAATTACTGGACTGTATGGTATTCTTATTTTTAATTTTTTGATGAACCTCCATATTCAAAGAAAAAAAAAATTTAAACAGCCAGAGAAAAATGAAGCCTTATGTATAGGCAGAAAACTATTAGAACTCCACTTTTGCACAGGATTTAAAAGATAAATGCATAAAAAATCATTATAAATCTATGTTAATGGGTATATAATATATAAGAATGCAATTTGTGACATCAGTAAAACATAATGGGGAAGGGAAGAAGCAAAGCTGTGGAGGACTAGGGTCCTTTCATGACAAAATAAAGTTGGTGTTAATTTTAAATACATTGTTTTTTAACTCTAGGATGGTGGGAATGTAAAATGGTAGAGCTGCAATGGCAAACACTATAGGGTTATCTCAAAATATTAAAAATAGATTTGCCATATAACGAGTAATTCCACTTCTAGGCATATACCCAAAAGAACTGGAAGCAAAGACTCAAACAGATATTTGTACACCCATGTTCACAACAGTATTATTCACAATAGTCAACACATACAAATAATTCAAAGTACAATTCACAAAGTACACAGTACAAACAATTCAACAAGTACAAACAAGTCCATCAAAGAATAAATGGATAAACAAAAGTGTATTTTATCTTTTTTTTTTTTTAACATTTTATTTATTTATTTGACAGAGAGAGATCACAAGTAGGCAGAGAGAGAGGAGGAAGCAGGCTATCCACGGAGCAGAGAGCCCGATGCGGGGCTAGATTCCAGGACCCTGGGATCATGACCTGAGCCGAAGGCAGAGGCTTTAACCCACTGAGCCACCCAGGCACCCCTTATTTTATCTTTTTAAAGATTTTATTTATTTGACAGAGAAAGATCACAAGTAGGCAGAGAGGCAAGCAGAGAGAAAGGAGAAACCAGGCTCCCTGCTGAGTAGAGAGCCCGATGTAGGGCTTGATCCCAGGACCCTGAGCTAAAGGCAGAGGCTTAACCCACTGAACCACCCAGGTGCCCCCAAAATGTGTATTTTAACTACAATGGAGTATTATGCAGCCTTTAAAAGGAATGAAATCGGATACATGCTACAACATGGGTGAACACTGAAAACCAATGTTTAGTGAAATCAACCAGACACAAAAGGACTAATATTGCATGACTGTACTTCTATGAAGGACCAGAAATTTTCAAATTCATAGAAATAGACAATACAATTGGTGGGTGCCAGGAGTTAGTAGGGAAAAGTAAATGAGGAGTTAGTGTTTCGTAGGTATAAGAGTTTCAATGCAGAAAGATGAACAAGTTCTGGGACGCCTGGGTGGCTCAGTTGGTTGGACGACTGCTTTCGGCTCAGGTCATGATCCCAGAGTCCTGGGATCGAGTCCTGCATCGGGCTCCCAGCTCCATGGGGAGTCTGCTTCTCCCTCTGACCTTTTCCTCGCTCATGCTCTCTCTCACTGCCTCTCTCTCAAATAAATAAATAAAATCTTTAAAAAAAAAAAAAAAGATGAACAAGTTCTGAGAATGGCTGATGGTGATAATTACATAACAGTGTGAATGTACTAAATACTACTGAACTGACACTTAAAAATAATTAAAATAATAAATTTTATGTTGTATATATTTTACCACAGTTAAAACTAAAACCCAGCAAATTTCTTTTTTTAGATTCAGACAAGATTATTCTGAAATGTATGTGAAAAGACAAAGGACTAGAATATCTAAAACAACTTTGAAAAGGTTAAACTGGAAGGAATCAATCTACCAAATTTATAATATATATGTGTAGTAACCAAGGCTGTGCAGTATTATTGGACAGACAGACATACAACAATGGAACAGAATAGAAAACTCAGAAACAGACCTACAAATACACCCAAATGATGTTTTTACAAAGATGAGAAAGCAATTCAGTGGAGGAAAGATAAACTTTTCATCATATGGCAATGGAACTAGATATTAAGAGGCAAAGGAAAAAAAAATTAAACTTGACCTAAGGCATATACCTTATATAATAATTAACTCAAAATGCATTACAGCCTTAAATGTAAAATGAAAAAATAAGAACTTTTAGAAATAATAAAGGAAAAATCTTTGAGACCTAAGTCTAGACAAAGGATTGTTAGACTCTGTGTCTAACAGATCCCAAAAATGTCATTCATAAAATGAAAAATTAGTAACTGGAATTCACTGAAGTTTGAAACCTTTGCTGTTTTCAAACCTGTTAAGAGGATGAAAAGGCAAACTACAGAATGGGAGAGCACATTTGCAAACCACATATCCAACAAGAAACTAGTAACTAGGACATATAAAGAATTTCCAAAACCCAATATAAAAACTTTCAATTAAAATATGAATGAGATAGGATGCCTGGGTGGCTCAGTTGTTCATTAAGTGTCTGCCTTTGGCTCAGGTCATGATCCCAAGGTCCTGGGATCAAGTCCTGAGTCCAGCTCCCTGCTTTGCAGGAAGTCTGCTTCTCCCTCTGCGCCTCTCTCCACCCATTCTCTCACCTCTCTCTCTCACTTTCTCAAATAAATAAATAATTTTTTTTTTTTTTAAATATCCTGTAAGGGGCGCCTGGATGGCTCAGTGGGTTAAACACTCTGCCTTCTACTCAGGTCATGATCTCAGGGTCCTGGGATGGAGCCTCTCATCGGGCTCTCTGCTCAGCAGGGAGCCTGTTTCCCACTCTATCTCTGCCAGCCTCTCTGCCTACTTGTGAACTCTCTCTCCATCAAATAAATAAATAAAATCTTTAAAAAAAATTTTTTTTAAATGAGGAAAAGAGTGGGGGAGGCACTTCATAAGATACTCAACCTTATTCAAACTCAGGAAAGAGCAAATTAATACCAAACAAATATTACACACCAGTAACTTGGCAAAAATTAGACTGACAGCATCAAATGGAGGGGAAAATCTAAAATACTAGAAACACATATTCTGTTGCTATGAAAATTCTGATACTTTAATAGATCATTCCAAACGGTTTTCCAGCAATTGCATCCTCTTTTCATGGTCATATAAATTGGTTCAATCACTTTTGAAACAGTTTGCCATTATTCTACTCAAGTTGAAGATATGCATTGTCCTAAAACCTATTCATTCCACTCATAGGTATACACACTATTCTCCAGGACCTACAGAAATTCACAGACATATACAACAATGTTCTTAGCAGGAGTGTTAATAATAGTGTCAAACTGTAAATAATCCAAACATCCATTAGCAGTAGAGAGAATACATAGTAGTGATATGTTCATAAATGGCATCCTATACAGTAATTAAAATCAATGAATTTGATACATGCAAGCTATTCATGTTAATGAAAATAAAAAAGCAACACATAAAAATTATATACAGCATAATTTCATTTATATGAAGTTCTGAAACAGGCAAAACTAAACTGTATATAAATAGGGGCACCTGGGTGGCTCAGTAGGTTAAGCATCTGCCTTTGGCTCAGGTCATGGTCCTGGGATCGAGCCCCGCATTGGACTCCCTGCTCAGTGGGGTGTCTGCTTCTCCCTCTGCCCCTACCCTGCTTGTGCTCGCTCTTAAACTCTCTCTCTCTCAAATAAATAAAAATATTAAAAAAAATAAAATAAAGATGCATAAATAGCTAAAAAAGCTAAAGAAACCAAGGAGAAGATTATTATAAATTTTATGATTACTTCTGTGGGAAACGAGAGGGTTCTGAGTGGGAAGTTGTACAAGGAAAGGCTTGTGAGGGTCAGAAATGATTTTTCTGCAATTGAGTTTGATTAAACAGATTAACTTTACAAGTGCTTGTTAAACCATACACACTTTATGTATTTATATTTATCTCAACAATCATACCCACTTCACACACCACAATATGCATATATGCAATGCAGCACACGTTGACCTTTCTATCAAAATTTTAGCTGTTATCTTTGGGTAATAATTCTATTCCTCTCATTTTTACATTTTCCAAATTTTCATCGATAAGCAAACATTACTTTTCATAATGGGAGTAAACACATTCTCCCAACAACACAATGAACACTGCAGAAAAATTATGGCAGTTTATGTTTATTGAATGCCTTTTGTGCAATATGTTATACTATACTCTTTAAATACATTAACTCATTTAAGATTAAAAACAACTCTAAAATGTAGTTATTATCAGTCTCTTTACAGAGGTGGTTGCCAATGCTCACATAATTATAAATGTGAGGGCTAATCTGTCCAAGTCTGAATGGAACTTCCTCCCCATTCTTACACAAATTCCAATAGCTGAGAATTCACCTTCCCCTTACAATATCCTGTAGCATTTTCTTCATCTGATATTTAATTCATTCATTTATTCAACAAATATTTATTTAGGCCCTACTATATTCCACGTACTGTTCCACATACAAAATATATAAAGGGGCACGAAGCGGGGGGGGGCGGATATGCAAACGGGAAATGAAGTCTAAGTTTACATTTTGGTGGGGGAGACAGACAATAAATAATTTGAGATAGTAATCAGTTCTATGAAGAAAACAAAACAGCAGGACAGTGATTGGGAATAGTAAAAACATTTGGGCTGAGATCTGAATGCCAAATAAGCCATGTGAACTGCTGGAAGGGATTCCAGGTGGTGGCAGCTGTAAACATAAAAGCCCTGAAAGGGGAATGAGCTTGGCCATGCTTCACGAATAGAAGTAGAAGTAGATGGATTCTCTGCCTGTAGTATGATGAACGAAGAGGACAGATGGTATATCTTGCAGTCCAAGCAAAGAATTTAGATGCCATTTTCGATGTAGTGGGAAGTCACTGGAGGTTTTTAAACAAGGGAATGTCAGAGTACAATTTATCTTTAAAAAAAAAAAAAAAAGTTAGGACCTATGTCTAGAAAAGACTTGGAGGGAGAGAGGGTTGGGAAATGCCAAGAGTGGAAGTGGGAAGACATTAGTTTTTAGTAAGAAATCCAGGGAGGAGATGAAGGAGCTTGAATTAAGAGTGGCAGCAATCAAAATGGACAGTAGTCTTCAGCTCCCAGATCTATTCTAAGGATATACCGGATCAATGAGTATCTATTTCTTCACTTAACAACTATTCATTGCATGCTGTAAGACATCAGGCACTGTTCCTATAGGTGCTGGGGACACAGAACTGAACACAGCATATAGGATCCCTGACCTCAAGGAGCTTATATATTACATACTGCAATGAGGGAAATAGACATTTAATAGGTAAATAAAAATATCTTATAACATCAGATAGTAAGTGTTATGATGACAAGTAAAGAATGATAGAAGTGGGGTAACATTTTAGATAAGTCAAGGAAAGACTTTGCATAATGGGTGACACTTAAGCAAGGACTTAAAGTGAAGCGCAAGCCACACAAATGTTTGGGAGTAAAGCACTCCAGGGAAAGGGAACAGCAAAGGAAAAGATCTTGAAATAAGAATATGTGCAAAGCAAATGCACCTAGGGCAGGATAAGTGAGAAAGTGGCAAAGCAGGCCCAGATGCTGGTAAGACAGCAGATCCCATAAAGCCAGGAGGTAAAAGAGAAAATTTTGAATTTTGTTTTAAGTGTGATGAAAAGCCATTAGAGTTGAGAACAGGGGAAGGATTCCTGATTCACATTTTTGAAAGATCATTCTGGCTGCCTTTTTGAACTGTTGAAGGATAAGTAATATGAAAAGAGAGGTAACAGTGCCTTCAACTAGAGTGCTTCTAGTAGAAGTGTGAAGTAGGATAGATTGTGAATAATTTGCTAAATTGAATAGGATTTGCTGTATTAAATGTACAATATGAAAACCAAGTCAAGGAAGGTTCCTGGGGTTTTGGCTTAGAGAACCGGAGAGCTGAATGTAGCATTACTGGCATAAAGAGAAACTAGGGAGGAACAGGTTAGAAGACACAGACCAAAAGCTGGTTTTGGTCACATGTTCACTATGAGTCAAGTGGAAATGTCAGCTTGGCTGTGTCTTTAATAGTCGAAAGCTCACAGGAGAGGCCAAAGTCTGAGATAACTGTTTTTGAGAGTTACTAAAGACAATTTTCAAGAACAAAATTTTTCATATTTGAGAATTTACTGGCTCAATTCTTAGGAGTCACCTATCACTTCAAATTTATTTCTCCTATGGATATACTGCAGTTAACACAATTTACCAGTATACACTAATAAGCAATAAACTCTAACAATAAAATTTCACAAGTTCTTAGCTTCAGACTAAGATGATTAATTTTATAAATTACCAGGAAAAAGGAATACAGGGCCCAACCTAATACATTCAAAAATTAATATATATTTTATCAGAAGAACAAAGTCTTAGTAAATCTAATAGTAAAAGAATTAGGAATCAGATCTATTTTTTTCACAGTTTCCTTACTTCTCCCTCCTTTTTTATTCCCTACTACCTAGAAGCTTGGTCACCAAGAAGTCCACAGAGTTAGCTATTCATTTTCAAAATAGAATTTATTTCTGTAATAAAGAATTAAAATATGGCTGTGAAAGTAGAAAATAATATAGAAAAATATTTTAAATGTGCAACAGTAATTTTAGAGTAAAGGTAGTTAAGCACTAGAGTCCATGCTCAACATCTACTTGAAAGACCAACCAGTATTTTATATATTATTAACTACAATGGAGAAAACATATCTACTTGCAATTTTAATTAACAGTTATAATTCAAAAACAGATTTATATATCTGATAAGGCCCTTGTGAAAATATAAGTACAAATCTTGAGGATATATTTTTTGAAGTTGGCTTCACTTTATAGACTGAAAAATTTACTGTCCAAAAGTCACAGGATTGCTTTATTACTAATCCATCCATATAATTAAATCAACATAGAGGAAATACCTACTTTTTGGATGAAACCAAATGTCTTGTCAATAATGCGACAAGAATATCATCTTTCATTACATTGGTATAAAAGCTGGTAAGCTCATGTATCCCCAAAGCTTGGTTTCCATCACATGGGTCTTTAGACACTAAACACAGGATGAAGAAATATCTAACGAATTCTATCCATCGGTTCCCCAAAGCTTTACTTACAGTGAAGATATAGATGTTGTTTGTATGAAGAACATGCAAAAAGAATTGGAAAATGTTTGGCTAGAGGGAAGTCAACTCTTCAGAGACTATTGTTTGCAGTTTGCAGAATAGGATAATCTTCTCTAGGAAGAATAATGTCAACATAGCAGCACTATATTCATCAGGAATCCAATGGATCTCTCATGTGGCAGGAAGCCAAACCTTCTGGCTGCTCACAACATCACTCAGCTTCCCTTTAATCTTCAGGAAGTGTCTCTTGAATTCTAATCCATCACCCTATATTAGGAATAATATCCAAAAATGACATAAAAAAAGAGACTGCCATAAAATCAAACTCTCTTTAGTGGTTAAGAAGAGACAAACGTCCTTAGCTATGTCCAGCTACAATTCTCATCAGGTCCTCTTATGAAGACCAAATATCCTAGAAGAAATGGCTACATAAATAATTCCAACTTGCTTTTGGACCTATCACCATTCGCAACACACTGGGCTCAGAGAGAGAAACAATTACACCTTGTTATTTAAAGCATTGATATCTATGGACCTAAGTCACTGTTTTCCATTGGCACTGGGGGTTTAATTTAAATTTAAATTAAGCTACACAACCTACACTGAAGTCTTGCCAAAATACTGTGGCAACAAAGCCAGTCATTCAGTTATGAGAAGAATTTTATTACACTACAATCTTAATAATTTAATTCCATACTAAGCATCTAGACAATGGTAATGCAGCAAATTTCCAATTTTAGAATGTGACCTGTTTCTCCAACCCCCTTTAGGAGTCATGTACAATCTCTCAGGAAATAGAGAAAATGCTTTTTTGGTCTTATATACCAAAGCCAAACTATAACCTCAGAATCAGTAATCCCTAAAGAAATAATCAGAAATGTGAACAAGACTCTCTCTCTCTCTCTCTCTCTATATATATATATATGAATTATAGACTTACTTATAACAGATAAATGTTCATCAGTTATACTGTACATTTTGACAAACATAACTGTTATTAAAAAGATATATACATGGATTAAATAAGAAATTTAGAATGCTTTAAAATATTCAGGGTAATTACTGTTGGACAGTATAATTTAGGATTATTTTTATTTTTACTTATTTACATTTTCTACAAAAAAATTCTATAATAAGGAAAATGTCATTTGGAAAAACTATGTTTTAGAAGGATAATAACAAAACAAATGTTCAGAATACTGAATGAAAAATAACAAGTTACCACATATTTATAAATGCCATGTATATAAATATAATACCATTTAAAAAATTCTACCATGGGGCACCTGGGTGGCTCAGTGGGTTAAAGCCTCTGCTTTCGGCTCAGGTCATGATCCCAGGGTCCTGGGATCGAGCCCCACATTGGGCTCTCTGCTCAGCGGGGAGCCTGCTTCCTCCTCTCTCTCTGCCTGCTTCTCTGCCTACTTGTGATCTCTGTCTGTCAAATAAATAAATAAAATCTTTAAAAAAAAAAAAAAATTCTACCGTAATGAAGACTACCATAATGAAATAGTATTAGGTCTTTGTTCTCTCTGGATGATAAGATCAAACTTTATTCTTATTTTCTCCATTTTATATTTTCATATTTTTTAGGTTTCTACAATGAACATGTAATACTTCTTTAATATCAGCAAAACAGTTTAAAAAAAAAAAAGTACCTTAGAAAGCCGAAAGTCAACCAAGATCTTCTCATCCATTTCTACCAAATTCACTTTGAAAATCAGTTTATTGTTTCTCCTATCAGTTGTTGATACAGTAACCTAAGGCAATAAAAATAAGGTTAGCCCAAAGGACAAAACCATTTGTAATACTTCTCATTTCAAGGAATGACTAAAAAACACCCTGGTATACCACAATTGTGCAACAGTGAAACTCATGTTCTGGGAAAGTACGAGATGCTTCACACACACACTGCTGGTGGGAACGCACAACAGAGCAGCTGCTTTGGAAAATCACTTGGCAGCTCCTCAAAAAGTTAAACACAGAGTTACTATATACCTTAGCAATTCCATTAGCAGGTATATACCTAAGAAATTGGACATGTGTTGTTATGGGTTGAATTGTATCCCCTCAAAATTCATATGTTGAAGCCCTAACCCCTCAGAATGTGACTGTATTTGGAGACTGGGCCTTTAAAGAGGTAACTGAGTTAAAATGAAACCACTAAGTGGGCCCTGATCCAATATGACTGGTATCTTTGTAAGAAAAAAAAATTAGGATACAGAGAGAGACAGATACCAGGTATGCATGTGCAAGGAGGAAAGGCCAGATGAGGAAGCAGCAAGAGGGCTGCTACCTGAAAGGCAGAAGAGAGGCCTCAGAAGAGACCAAACCTCCCAGCACCTGGATCTTGGACTTCCATCTCTCAAATTGTGAAAAAATAAATTTCTGCTATTTAAGCACCTAGTCTGTGATTATTTTGTTATCACAGCCCTGGCAAAGTTCATAAAAAATTTGTACAAAAATGTTCATAGCAACATTTCTCATATAATAGCCAAAAAGTAGAAACATCCCAAATGTCCATCAACAGGTAAATGGTTAAATAAAATGTAGTCTTCTATCCACATAATGGAAAATTATTCTCCTATAAAAAGGAATGAAGTACTGATAAATGTAAACAACACGGATTAACCTTGAAAACATGCTAAGTAAAAGAAGACAGATATAAAAGGCCATTTATATGATATTATATAATTCCATTTATATGAAACATCCAGAATGGGCAGTCCATAGAAACAGAAAGTAAATCAGTGTCCGCCAGGAAATGAAGGGAGGAAAGAATGAGGAATGACTGCCAATTGCCAGAGTTTATTTTTGGGGCAATGGGATGTTCTGTAATTAAATGATGATGGTAGCACAATCTTGTGAATATACCAAAACACTAAATTACACACTTTAAAATGGTTAAAGTGATGATTTTTAGGTTACATGAGTTTCACCTCAATAAACCTACCTGATTTAAAAAAAAAAAAAAAAATAGGGGCACCTGAGTGGCTCAGTGGGTTAAAACTCTGCCTTCAGCACAGGTCATGATCTCAGGGTCCTGGGATCGAGCCCTACATCAGGCTCTCTGCTCAGCAGGGAGCCTGCATCCCACCCCCACGCCCGCCTACTTATTATCTCTCTCTGTGTATCAAATAAATAAATAAAATCTTTTTTAAAAATTAAAAAAAATAATAAAATAATAAAATAAATTACCTATACAACTGAGAGGAAAATCAGGCTGGCCTCAGATTTCTGCATAGTAACAACTTCCCCTACCTTTTAATTTTGAAAGCTTACAAATCTATAAAAAAAAACCTGAAAGAATCTACAATAAATAACTATATACCCTTCACTGGTCTTATCAACATAGATAAGTATATGTTTATTTGACTTTTTTTATGTGGTTGTCTTTTTTTTTTTTAAGTTTTCAACCAAGCTACTGAAAATACACTTCTTCAACATGTTTCTCCTATGAACAAAGACATTCTCCTACAAACCACAGTATTATAACACCCAAGAAATTTGGCATTGATACAAAAATATTGTTTAATATAAAACCATATTTAAATTTCTCCAATTATCCCAATAACATCCTTTATAGCTTTCTTTTCTTTAAATCCATGATTTAGTGAAAAATCATGCATTACATTGTTTTTCAGACCTCTTTAATACGTAATATTCACCTCTAATTGTTTTTTGTAACATCAGGTTTTTGAAAAGCCTAAACACATTAGAATTTCAATGTTACAAATATGCTATAATAATATAAACAACAAAAATTGGTAGGCGGGAGCAGGGGAGATGGAAGAAATACGGGATTGTTAATATATTCATCTTTCAGAGAAGGGAATCTTTCCTACTGTTACAATTTAAGTATATACAGTTTTTAAAAACATGACTTGCCTCTCTTGATATTTTTAATAAACGTAAAGAAGACTTTCAATATTATTTCTTTTTTTTTTTTTTTTAAAGATTTTATTTATTTATTTGACAGACAGAGATCACAAGTAGGCAGAGAGGCAGACAGAGAGAGAGGAGGAAGCAGGCTCCCCGCCGAGCAGAGAGCCCAATGTGGGGCTCGATCCCAGGACCCTGGGATCATGACCTGAGCCGAAGGCAGCGGCTTAACCCACTGAGCCACCCAGGCGCCCCTCAATATTATTTCTTAAGGTAAAAAACATTTTACTTAAGTCTTTGCAATTTCAATTGTTTTTCTTTCTTTCTTTCTTTACTTATTTATTTTTCTGTCAGAGAGAAAGAGAGAGAGGAGGGGAGAGAGTATGAGAGCACAAGCAGGGGGAGTGGCAGGCAGAGGAAGAAGCAGGCTCCCTGCTGAGCAAGAAGCCTAAGGTGGGACTCCATCCCAGCACCCTGGGATCATAACCTGAGCCAAACGTAGACTAAATGACTAAGCCACCCAGGCGTCCCCCAGTTGTTTTTCAAAAACACTCTGATAATGATCATGTTTTACTTTACATTTTTCTTCAGGAAAATCTATGAAACATACCTGATTCATACAACTCTTTTTCCACTGATAGCCCAATTTCTCACAAGTCTCTTTCAGGCATTGATAAGATTTGTCTGCATCCAATTTGGTAAAAAATCGTGTCATCCTTTTAACCAAGCGCTGCCAAGGGTTCTACATGTCAGACAGAGGAAACTTGAATAAATCTGGTATCACCAAAAGCAGTCATATCATAGCTATTCGGTCTGAAAATTCTTTTCTGTGACTTAAGATTCTTATACAGGAAAGCAACCTTTAATTCTCTCTTCCTTGTTAAAAAAAAAATGTGTATATGCTAAAGTGTTAATACTGTATTTCTAAGATTTATACATTTTTTTTTTTTAAAAGGCTTTATGACAAAAACTAGAGGTTCTTCACCACTTATCTGAAAAAACTGAATTCCCTTACCTGTGAGGATCCTGGAGTGCCAAGTAATTGACTATTCAGGAGCATGTGATCAGGACACGTGGGTTGGGAAAAACTGATCCCTTGTACCAGTTTATCAATATATGAAGGACTGGTGTCCCATAATGAAAGACCTGTCCGTGGTTCTGGCTGGGAACTGGAATACTTCACATTTTCTTCACTGGAGCATTAAGATATGGGAAAAAAAAAAATATATATATATATCTTCAGGTAAAATCAATCAGGCCAAAACAAAAAAAAAAAAATCAATCAGGCCTTTCTTAGACCACATTACCATTCTCACACTGATAAAAATTACACTCATTATTAAGAAAAAATATATAATGTATTATTTCATATGAGAATACTACATTCAACAACTATTTGATCTTTATTAATTAATCTTACCTAGAGGCACTATTCACTGGAGAGAAGTCCAAATTGGATTGAATGTGCTTAGAAAATCTAGTAGGAGATTCTGATACACCACCTGAAGTGACTCGGGGCCTCTTTGCCCCTAAAAAAAAAAAATGTACATGTTGTACATGATTACGTAAGAAATATGGTCATTATATTTATTTAAGAAATGTGGTCATTATAAACTTAGAAGGATTCACTTATCAAATTATACATTTCACAAATCCTGACTTGTAAGTATGTTTCAAGTGTGGGATTTTATACTAAGGCCATAGTTTTAATGGTACCATTTATAGTAACAGACAATGGTCTATGAAGACAAAGAGACCAAGTTAAAAAATCAAAACATTTTAAAATAAATAATTGATGATAATGGCAATAAACATTATGAATCTACTCTATCCAACATTCTTTGCCCCCCTGAAAAAGGTACCAAGAATAATTATTACACAGAATATGATGCCACTATAAAATCATGGTTACTCCCTTAGCTGGATCCTCAACAGTGACAACTGTTGTTGTCAAAGACAACAACAAAGACAACTTTGTTTCTCTAGTCAGTTTCCTCTCCCTTTCTCCAAATGATTACTTCAAAACTTCTATACTCTTATTAAATTCCCACAACTACCCATCCTTTCCTCCCTTCCATGCTCCTATCCAATGCCCATCCCTCTACTTATATGTGAGCCTCATACCCTCCTTTCTCTTCAGGGATCTTGATGCTCCTTCATTCCTTCTCTCTTAGACCTTCAGCCTTTTCCTCTCAATTGGAACTGTCCCTAAACCATTTAAACACACTTAATTTAGCCAAACATTTTATTTATTAATTCATTCATCCAAATATTTTATTAAGGCTACTATGCATCAGGCAGTAAGATTAAAGAAACAGCATGCTGGCATGCTGATCAGTAAGGAGAGAAAGAAAAATTAATGATGCAGGAGGAAGGCAGAAGAATTGCTAGACAACATCCCTGAGTAAGCAAAAGAGAACTGGGACTTTGTTAATATATTCATCTTTGTGCACAAGACAGATTTGACTTATATCTGGAGCAATTTATTTATAGCAACTGAGGAGAAAGCGGCGTATATGAGCACAGAGGCACCTGGTCAGGTGAGTATAGATGGTGAAGAGAGCTTGTGGAAGTTCTCTTATGATTGTTTCTACTTCTCAGTGAAACAGGAAGTACTGTCACCGGCTGAGAGTGTGGATGGGGAAGGAGGTATTAGAAGTTGGAGAAAAAAGAAAAGGTATAAAAATGCGATTTAGGAGAGTGAGGTTGTGAAAGAAGTGGAGAAATGCATGTAATTGTCTGGCAGAGTTAAGGGCTCACTTGAGATTAGTGATCCTGAATTTAAAGTGAGCACTGTTATGTATTTTGGTCCAAATACCATCAGCTGTGCAGGTGTAAGTGTAGAACAGGCAGAAGACTGGATTAAACTTGGGTTGGGTTTTGACCAGTAAGCATGATGAAGAGAGAATAGGATCAGAAAGCGGAAGCTGAATGTAAAGAAGTCATTATAATGGCTGACCTTGGGATTTAAAGTAGTGAGGATGGGGGCGCCTAGGTGGCTCAGTGGGTTAAAGCCTCTGCCTTCGGCTGAGGTCATGATCCCAGGGTCCTGGGATCAAGCCCTACATGGAGGGGCGGGGGGGGGGGGTCTCTGCTCAGCAGGGAGCCTGCTTCCTCCTCTCTCCCTGCCTGCCTCTCTGCCTACTTATAATCTCTATCAAATAAATAAATAAAATCTTAAAAAAAAATAGTGAGGATAGAACTGAGGACCTAGTGAGGTAGCAGATAAGAGACAGTGAAAAGGAAGAAGTATTAGTGGATTGCATTTCCACTATAGGGTGAAAGGATTGCTACAGTCAGGGTACTAGAGGAGGAAACCAGAAAAAATTTTGCCAGTAGTCAAAGCAGGATACTTGGGGCGCCTGGGTGGCTCAGTGGGTTAAGCCGCTGCCTTCGGCTCAGGTCATGATCTCAGGGTCCTGGGATCGAGTCCCGCATCGGGCTCTCTGCTCAGCAGGGAGCCTGCTTCCCTCTCTCTCTCTCTCTGCCTGCCTCTCCATCTACTTGTGATCTCTCTCTGTCAAATAAATAAATAAAATCTTAAAAAAAAAAAAAAAAGTTTAAAAAAAAAATAAAAAAATAAAAAAAAAAAAAGCAGGATACTTGAAGAGAAGATCACTAGAGAAGAGAAAAGCAAGGAAATAAAAGATCAGGATGCTGGAAGAATCATCCAAATGAATATTTAAATCACCAAGAACCACAACAAAATGTACATTATCAGTCTTATTGGAGAGAGTGACAATGTGGCAGGAATTTTCATTAGGGGTTCAAAAGCTGATTGTAACAAGGATGGAACTGTGGGTGGTAATCTGATAATAAGAGATTCAAAATGAAGTTGGGGAGAAATGTAGGAAGAAAAAGGGAGAAAGTGGCAAGGATGTCCGTCCCACCCCATGTTTCAAGGGCAGGAGCATGTGGGAAAGAAAACATCTACCACTGGAGAGGAAGCCTATGTTCCCAGGGGAGAGCTGGATTACTATTAGAACAGAATGAAAGGTAAAAGATGCATTCGGAGAAGAATTAAAAACTCATTCATCTCCAGCCATTATCCTCTCTCCTTCCATTCACAGCCAGACTGCTTGAATGAGCTGTCTACACTCTGCTTCATTATCTCTCTTTTAGACTATAATCACTGTACTCGACAATTACTCCCACCTCTCCACCAAACCTGTTCCTGCCACAACCATGAATAACTACTGGGCAAACTTTTAGGCTGCATGTTATCAACTCACTTAACAGTATCTGCTACTATCATGCATTTTCTTCTCTTAACTTCAATTCCTCCATGTTCTCTTGATGCTCCTCCCATCTCTTTGGCTATTTTTCTGTTTCCCTGGCCTCTACCTACCACTTACATGTTGGCATTGCTTAAAGTTTCATATGCTCAATTTCATCTACCAGTTTAAATTACCATCTATCTGCAGAAAACACCAAATATTGACATCTCAAGTCTGGTCCTATCTCCTGAGTTACACATATACACATATCCCCTTATTAGACAGTTGTACTTCTCAGATTCAAAATATCCAAAATCAAATAAAATTTCCCCCCAATTCTATTTTTCTTGAATTATATCTCAGTAAATGGTACCATCATTTTCTGAGTTAGTCAACCCAGAAAGGAGTCCTCCTAGATTCCTCATCCTCCTTCATTTTCTACATATAAACAATCACTAATCCTATCAATTCTAATTGGTAAATTTCTTTGGAATCTACTTCTTCCTTTCAATCCCATTGCCACTAATCTCATCCAAGGTACCATCTTCTCACATCAGGATAAAAAATGTCAAAAACAATGAAAAAAAAAAGTAGCCAGAAAGATCTTTTAAAACCAAATAAATAATCATGTACTTCCTGGCTTAAAAATCTCTCAAAAGATTCCTCAATGGCCTTAAGTTTAAAGCTCAAAATCCTTAATGTGGTTTAAAAGGTCCCCCTCCACAATTTGGTCACTACCTAGCTTTCTAGCTTCATTTCAAACCTCTCTCCCTTCTTTATTTGCTCATCTACTCAATAAACATTTACTTAGAGCCTACAATATACAACACACTGTGCTAACCACTGGTGACACGATGATGAACAAGCCAGACATGGTCCATGCCATACTGGCCTACTTTTAAGTTCCTCAAATGTACCACCTTCCAAATTCTAAGACTCTCCAGATGTTGCTTCCTCTGTTCAGAATCTGCCACTCATCTTGCTAGTACCCAGCGGGCTAGTTCTCCTTCAATCTTTAGACCTTAGATTTAATGTGATTTCCTCTGGAAGACAAGTTTTCTCTATTACTTAAGACTTAAACACTTAGCTATAGTATTCTGACCTTCTATTAATAAAGTTCGAAATTATTTTTTGCATTTCTGTTTTCCCCAATAGACATTATAACCAACCTACATAAAGACAGAAACCACAGACATCTTGTGTTACTGACTTGTAACACTGACAGCAAGTGTCTTTTCTTTCACAGAAAAAAAATACTCATATTTTTCAGGATATTACCTTTCTTGAGTGGTTTATTGTACCATCTATCTTTTTTGATGTCTGGGATGGTAATCCTTACTGATGGATTCTCAACTAGGATTTTATGCAGCAAAGCTGAAAATAAAATATTAATACAACATTTACAAAAGAGTCATGCAGATTAGAAACTTGTGCTGTGGAACATTTTCTCTAGTAGTCTCCTTATATCCAAATATTTCTGGGCAAGAGAAGAAATAAACCTACTACATTATTGCTTTAATTTCATGTAGTTGCTCTTTGCTACATTCTCAGATCCGATTTTTGGTTGTCTGCAAACAAGGAGAACATGAGCCAGTTGCAAATATTTCTCCCCGTGTACGACATTAACAAAAAGATACAAAAACCCTCATCAATTTTCAATACCAAAAGTTATTATTTTAGTATGTCATGTTATGTCCTCATTCACCCAGTTTTATGAGGAAAATCTACTTTCCAATAACTTTTTAAGAGAAAATAACGTAAGCAACTATCATCCTAAAGTATCTTATCTTCATAAAAAATTCATACGTTTCCAAAACATAAAATTATTTTCTAATGGACCAAGGTTTAAATGAAAAACTGAAACTATAAAAACACAAAAACACAGGGAACTTTCTTCTAAGTTAGAGGTAGGGAAGACCCTTCCAAACATAACAATATAGTCAGAAAACCACAAAGCACAAAAATAATAGATTTGAATAAAAATATAAAACTTCTGCATGTGAAAATAGCATAAACAAAATAAAAATGCATGGCAAATTGTGAAAAATATCTCTAACAAATGCAAAGATCTAACGATATTAATGTTTAAAAAAAAAAAACTCATATAAAGTATTAAGAAAATCTCCCCTGGTAGAAGTGAGTAAAACAGATAATCCACAAAAATGGACAAAAAAGTTAGCAATGTCTAGCTTTGATATTAATTTTGATATTAAATTTAATTTGATATTAAATTTAAAATAAAGATAAGAAACAGTGACTATAGGAGTACCTAGGTGACTCAATCTGTTAAGCAACAGACTCCTAGTTTCCACTAAGTTTGTGGTTTCCGAGTCCTGAGATTGGGCCCAATGCTGGGCTCCACACTCAGTGCAGTCTGCGGAAGACACTCCCTACCCTTCCCCACTACACACATACACCATGTGCACTCTCTCTCTTGAAAATAAATAAATCTTAAATTAATTAATTAAATAAAATAAATAAATCTTTGGGGCACTGGGTGGCTTAATCAGTTAAGTGTCTGCCTTTGGCTCAGGTCATGATGAGCCCCAAGTCAGGCTCCCTGCTCAGTGGTGACCCTGCTTCTCCCTCTGCCTGCTGCTCTCCCTACTTGTACATGTGTGCTCTCTCTTTCTGTCAAATAAATAAATAAATAAAGTTTTTCAAAATAAAGTCTTTCAAAATAAATAAATAAATAAATGAAATCTTTTTAAAAATTTTAAAATATTAACTAATGAGATTGTAATGAAATGGTACAAAGTTTCTAAAAAGCAATTTGGCCAAGTAAGCCATAATAATTAAAAACTGCCTACATCCCTAGCACTTCTGGATTTGTTTTTTAATTAAATAATTTAAAGGTATGTGCATTATGTGGATGATCATCATATGTCTTTCAGAAGTGAAAAATTTCAAAAATATACAAATCTCTAAAAAAAGTGAATTGGATGAATATAGTAAACATACCCACACAGTAATATTCCATCACGGCCTTTAAAAACAATGATGTAGACCTAAAATTATAGTCACTGGAAAAATGTCCATGACTATAGAGCATTAAGGCAAAAAAAAAAGGTTATAAGATAGCATATGTAGTGTGATCTCATTTTCTATAAAAACGTACATACTTATAAATAATATGCATATATAACAAACATATATATTTGTTATACATCTTTACAACAAAGTGTAGAATTGCATATCAAAATATTAAAAGAAGCTACTTCTGAGTGCTGGGATTATACAGTTGTTGTTGTTTTTAATATTATTTTCTAATCTGCTTGCAAGGATCACAGATTACTTACATGATTATCTAAAAGTTAGAAAGAAAAAAATATAAAGAAAAAATTCAATCACCAGGCTTCATTATCTAAGAAATCAGTACTTTCAATCAACAACCCAGTTACCTAGAGGAGCTGAATCAATTTTTTTCCAAGGGTTGAGGTATGTTTTTTTTTCTTTCCAATCAGAGTATTCCTGACAACTGTCACTGGGCTGGTCCCATGGCAATTCTAAAAAAGAAACAAGTCTCAGTTTTCTGTGTGTTCACTTTATTACATAGTAAAGATTTTAAAGGAAAATAGTCAATGATACAAACCCATTAAAAGTTTCCACCAAATTAATTCAATATGGTTTTCAAACTAAGAATGCCAATTCACAAAAATTTTAGAGGCGCTTCAAAGATAAACCAATTCTGCTCTACCGTTTCCAAAATTATTCACATGAATCTTAGAAAGGCTGCTATTGTGATACTTCATTTAATTGCTATATATACCTCATTTTTAAAAAGCTTTGGGATTCAAAGTTCCAACTTAGTTATAAATAAATTCAATATTAAAATACTATCACATAGGGGATGCCTGGATGGCTCAGTCGGGTAAGCATCTGCCTTTACCTTGGGTCATGACCCCAGAGTCCTAGGATCAAGTCCTGCAGGGGGCTTCTTGCTCAGCGGGGTGTCTCCTCCCTCTCCCACTCCCCTGCTTGGGCTCCCTTTGACAAATAAAGAAAATCTTTAAAAAATAAAATAAAGGGGCACCTGGGTGGCTCAGTGGGTTAAAGCCTCTGCCTTTGGCTCAGGTCATGATCCCAGGGTCCTGAGACAGAGCCCCACATCGGGCTCTCTGATCAGGGGGGAGCCTGCTTCCCCCTCTCTCTCTCTGCTTGCTTCTCTGCCTATTTGTGATCTCTTTCAAATAAATACATAACAAAATAAAATACTATCGTATAAATATGGTTCCCTTGGTTTGTTTCATTTATTTTGGTATAACAAATCTGGCTTTCCGTAGGACAGGAGTTCCATCATGATTAAAGAGCTCTTACCTCCAGCCAACATTGCTGTAAGTACTATTCCACAGGACCAAACATCAACTGGTTCTGCGTGAAATTCTTTTCTCTTTAGAAGTTCTGGAGCAACATAAGGTAAAGTACCGCACATCTTGTTCAATAAACGTTCACGATTATTATGCCGAAACACCGTTGCCAAGCCAAAGTCAGAGATTTTGAGGTTATCTAAACCAAAGGAAAAATTGAATGGCACTGGTATAAATAGATATACTTAAAGGAATTAGCATTTTATTGGAAAATCACTGGTATTACTTACAAAGTGTATAGCACTTTTCTACCTTAAAATGACAAAAAAAAATTTTTTAAAAAGATTTTAATTATTAGAGAGAGAGAGCACAAGCGAGAGAGAACAAGCAGGGGGAGGGGTAGAGGGAAAGGAAGAAGCAGGCTCCCCACTGAGCAGGGAGCCCGATGTAGGGCTCTATCCTAAGACCCAGGGATCATGACCTGAACAAAGGGAGATGCTTAACTGACTGAGCCACTCAGGCACCCCAAAAAAGAAATTTTAAAAAAGAAGAAATAAAAAATATCATCGCATAACTAAAACTAGAAAAAGACCTCATTATTAAAAGACCTTATTAACTTAAGAGAAAAATCATCAATACACAAAACAGTATGGACCAGGTTAAAGAAAGAAACGAGTCAAAAGGGACTGCCCTTCTGGAAAAAGGGCACTCTAGTTGTGGTTGAAAGCACAGCCAAGACCTTCATCAACTTGTACAGAGGGCAGGAAGGAGACACCAATAACATGACAGGCACAACTTTCTCAGCAGCAAATAAACCCAGCTGGCAGGAAGAAAATATGTAAAGATGTACCAAAGCTTAAGATCCACAAACCACTAGAACTTCTTGTCAAAGTTTAGAAAAGAAGGAACACTGCACAAAAAAAATAAAACAGAAAAGCAAAATTTCCTCTTAACTTCCCATCTTTAACACACACAAAACTGCAGGCAGGACTTTCAACTTGTTCTGTCCTTAGTGAATGTTCAGCATAACTTAGCAACACTGTGCTAGCCAATGCAGGTAAATAAATTACTGAAGATTAAAAATAAACAGCAATTGAAAAAGTTATAAAAATACAAAGCATTACAAGATCTTATTGCAAGGGACTCTAATCTAATCTTAGGAGGGAGGGAAGTCCCCCTATTACGAAAGTGTCAAATGGTACAGCCTTTTTAGAGGGCAATCTGGCAATCTGGCAATTTTGAAATAGTCACTCTTTGAAATAGCAATTCCCATTTCCAGGACCACAAACACAGAAATATTCCCTAAAATTCACAAACATAAGGATATTCCTAGCAATATGATCTGTAAATAGCTTAAATATCCATCAATAAAGAAATGGTAAAATCTTATTGCACATGTATACAATGAAAACTAAACTGATAAGTTGCTTTTTTTAAAAAAGGCACCTGGGTGGCTCAGTTAGCTGAGTGTCCAGCTCTTGGTTGTGTCTCAGGTCATGATCTTGAGGTCCTAGGATCAAGCCCTGTGCCCAGCTCCCCACTCAGTGCAGAATCTGCTTGTCCCTCCCCCTCTGCTCCTCCCCCTGCTTTCTCTCTCTGGAATAAATACAATCATTAAAAACAAAACAAAACTATCTGTAGTACTGACATGGAACAGTGTATAAGTGAAAAAAAAAGACAAGTGCCATAGCAAATATCCATTATAACACAACCCAATTTTTATATTGGACCTGTGCACAAATCTATAGAACAGATATTGCTGTTCTATCTCTTTAAATCTAGAAATAATTTTAACGTCCTAAAATAGGGTTTTGATTCTTTGAAAATCAAGTATATCCACACAATATAATATGTAAGACATTGATGATGTTTACCTGCATTTGAATTGGGAGGCAGCTACTCTAATTATCCTTTTAATAGCTATACATGACACAATCTTGACAAATCACTAAGATTAAGAGTGGCAAGTTATCAGTGAAAATGCTAATAGGTAACTGTAACATTCCTTGAATTTTGTTGTTTCCATATGTCTGCAACATAATACTCAGTTTAAAGACCTGCATATAATAAATTCTAAATTGAGGAGTGTGGTTATCTCTGAGAAAAAGGGAATACATTTGTGAAGGAATACAGAGGATTTGGACTATATTCGTAATGTTTTCTTTTTTAAAAAGACTATTATTAAATATTGAGCAAGAACAAATATACATATATATTTCCTTTGAAATCCCCTATAATTACTTCCCTCAATATATTCCCTTCCCTACCTTCTCAGAAGTGACTACCATTCTGATTTTTGTTTTAATACGCTCTTTTTTTGTGTGATTTTCTCCATATTTGTATTTCTAAACAATATATTTGATTTTACATATTTTTGAACTTCATATAAATAGAAGCATACTTGTATGAATACTTCTATGAAACATACCCATGTCATTACTTGTACCTAAAATCATCCATTTCATAATTTATCTATTCCATTGTTGATAGACATTTCCATTGTTTCCAGCGTTTTGCTATTTTACACCACTGCTTTGAGCAATGTACATAGGTTTTTTTTAAGATTTTATTTATTTATTTTTGCATGAGAGAGAGCATGAGGGGGAGGGGCGGGGGCAGGGGGGTCTGCAGCAGAGGGAGAAACAGACTCCCTGAGGAGCAGGGAGCCTGATGCTGGGCTCCATCCCAGGACTATGGGATCATGACCTGAGGCTAAGGCAGACACATAACTGACTGAGCCACCCAGGCATGCTAATGTTTTATTTTTTAAGCCAGATTGGTATATAGGTAGTTATTTTATTTTTATTTTATTATATCATATATGTTTTATATAAATTTTTATATGCCTGAACTTTTTTAAGTAAGCTCTACAGCCTGGGTACCTAGGTGGCTCAGTCAGTTAAGCGTCTACCCTCAGCTCAGGTCATGATCTCAGCGTTCTGGGATGGAAGCCCACATCAGGTTCCCTGCCTAGCAGGGAGTTTGCCCCTCCACCTGCTTACATATGGTCTCTCTCAGATAAATAAATAAAATCATTAAAAAAAAAAAAAAAAAAAAAAAAAAAGGAAGCTCTACACCCAACATAGAGCTCAAATTCACAACCCCAAGATCAAGAGTAGCATGCTCTACCAACTGAGCCAGCCAGGAGCCCCATGCCTAAATTTTTTTTTAAGTAACTGTAAAGGTTTTTATTTTTTTAAAGATTTTTTTATTTGTCGGAGAGAGAGGAGCGAGAGCGAGCACAGGCAGGCAGAGGCAGAGGGAGAAGCAGGCTCCCTGCCAAGCAAGGAGCCCGATGTGGGACTCGATCCCAGGACGCTGGGATCATGACCTGAGCTAAAGGCAGCTGCTTAACCAACTGAGCCACCCAGGCGTCCCTGTAAAGGTTTTTATATAACATAAATACAAAATAAAATAAAGTCCTGAAAAATAAAACCCACATGCATATCAAAAAACCATATATTCTATGATCTAACTTAAGTTTATACATACGTGGGTAAAGATGTGTATATCTCCCTCATCCTCAACCCAAATAGATTCTCTTACTATCACCATTTATAAAGAAGGACAGTAAGGAGAGAGAAGGTAAGTAATGCCAGCTTGCCCACAGCTATACAGCTACTATGAGGTGGCCTAGATTAAACCTAGGTTCAAATGACTCTAAATCCTGAGCTCTTAACACTATGCTGTACTTCCTCTCACAGTTAGAAAAAAGTAATCCTTTTTCCCCAAACCCACATTTACTCCAAAAAAAAAAAAAAAAAAAAAGGCTTAATTTGTAGATGAGGAAGGAGATGAATTGACTGTAGTATACCATCAAGGATAGCTATTAGCATTCAGAGGCGCCTGGGTGGCTCAGTCAGTTAAGCATCTGCCTTGGGCTCAGGTCATGATCCCAGAGTCCTGGGATAGAGCCCCATGTCGGGTTCTCTGCTCAGTGGGGAGTCTGCTTCTCCCTATCCCTCTGCCTGCTGCTCCCCCCACTGGTGCTCTTCATCAAATAAATAAATAAAATCTTTTATAAAAAACAAACAAACATAGAAACAACCCCGGGAACAGAAAAATGGATTAACTGTAAATAATGCACAGGATGAAAAAAAAATTTTTTAAAGTCTATTAGCATTCAAAAAGTTAATAGAAATGGAATGAAAAATGGAAAATAAAGGAATTCTCCAACTGTGCTCTCATTTCTTGGGACTCATCAGTCAATTACTCAGTTCCTTTTCCTCATACACTGAATTTTCTGAATATCTAAAATTTTGCTATGTGCCTTATAAAGCAACTTGCAGAAGCTAAATAACCAAAGGAGGATCTTATGCAGCTAGGCAGACAGCTTAATAAATGTTTATCTAAAAGATATTCATCAAAAATTAACAGTGGTTGGGGTGCCTTGGTGGCTCAGTGGGTTAAACCTCTGCCTTCGGCTCAGGTCATGATCTCAGGGTCCTGGGATCGAGCCCCACATCGTGCTCTCTGCTCAGCAGGGAGCCTGCTTTCCGGTTCTCTCTGCCTGCCTTTCTGCCAACTTGTGATCTCTCTCTCTGTCAAATAAATAAATAAAATTTTTAAAAAGTATTTTTAAAAAATTAACAGTGGTTATAAATGATTGATGGCTTTCTGGTGATTTTTTTTTACTTTCTTCTTATACTTTCCATCTTACTTCATTAACTAGTATTTTTATAAAGAAAAAAAACCCAGATTTTTAGTATGAAAACAAAGTTTTCATATTCCAAATATTATTACATATTCACATCTCCATTACTTATTAAATAAACTGGCTTTCCTTAACTCATCTCCTAGTATGAAGGCCAATTAGAGTTGAGAAAAAGGCTAGGAGGCTGATAAGAAAGTACAGTGACATGTCATGAAAAATACTGCCAGAAACACTAAACCTTAGGGTTGGACAAGATCTTAAAAATACTTTGGTCCAGGGCACCTAGGTGGCTCAATGGGTTAAGCCTCTGCCTTCAGCTCAGGTCATAATCTCAGGGTCCTGGGATCGAGTCCCGCATCGGGCTCTCTGCTCAGCAGGGAGCCTGCTTCCTCCTCTCCCTCTCTCTGCCTGCCTCTCTGCCTACTTGTGATCTCTCTCTCTGTCAAATAAATAAATAAAAAATCTTAAAAAAAAAAATTACCCTGAATGTAAATGGACTAAATGCTCCAATCAAAAAACACAGGGTATTAGAATGGATAAAAAAG